AAGTTTAAATCATGTTTCACCTAAGCCTCTTTTATCATGATCAAAAGTGGACCTCTGCTTTTTCATGCTAGTTTATTTTCTTTCATTCAGTTTTGTTTGGGCCCACGTCCCTCTAGAACAGGGGCGGGGAACTCTAGGCCTCAAGGGCCGGTGTCCTGCAGGTTTTAGAGATCACCCTGGGTTATTAGTTAATTACCAGGCCTCTGGAGAACTTCAATACATGTTGAGGAGGTAATTTAGCCATATAAATAAGCTGTGTTGGATCAAGGACGCATCTAAAACCTGCAGGACACCGGCCCTTGAGGCCTGGAGTTCCCCACCCCTGGTCTAGAAGCTGCCACTTGGCAGCCATATTGAAAAGCCTCCAGACACTTCTTTGGGCTTATTTTGAAGTATTATTTTAAATGTAACTTTAGTGCTCACAAAGGCAAATACTATACTTGTATGTAGTAACATTGGTCAAATGTAAAACCCTCTAAAAGTGTGCTAATGGAAACACTGGGGACAACAGTGGTTGGAGACTGAGGTTGAAGTGGTTGCTTCTAAGATGGGGACCTGTCTGCAACCACTCACAGCAGACTTCAAAAGGGGCTTTGGTGCATGAGACGACCATAAGAGGGAGCCAGTCTGCAATCAGTGCTCAGTTAGATGGGGGCAAGTTGACAGTTACATGCTAATAACATCAGTCAGACAAGTTGGACATGTAGGGGAAGCTAACTGCTATCAAATAGTCATTTCACAGACCTGGAATTGAGTCTAGAGTAGAAATAGCTGTTAACGGAAAAAATTTCCTTTAATAGAAATCTGCATTCAAAGACATTTCTTACAGGATTAGGGTTAATCCGTGGCTGTGAAACCAGCCGAGACTGTCTCCATTTCAGTTCTATTCTCAGCCGTGTGTGCTCGCCTATAGACTCACACATCACAGTGTGTTGTGCGAGTCACGTGTGCCCACATGTTCACTGGCAGATGCCCAGCGAAGCAGCGTGCGACTGTCGATTTGAGAGTTTGGTATTAAAAAGTCGACTGTGTTCTTTGGAACAACCTCAAACTTCCCACATCCAGCGTGGAGACTGAAGAGTCCTCACTAATTGATGCAGTTTCTCCTCTGTGCTCTGGTCTCTAAGCGAAGCTGGAGAGATAAGATGCTTTTTATTCTTTTTTTTTTCATCACTCTTTTCCTCCTCCTCGCCTATTTGACCCATTTTATCAGTGGCAGATAAAACCAAACAAATCAGAGGAGCTGGAGCTTCAAACTTTTTGCCCTTTGGCTGGCGTCTCTGACACTGTCTTTTCTATTTCTTCTTCACTTTGATCTGCCCATTTACCATTTCTACCCTTTCCCCCTGTCTCTTTCTGTCTTTTCAGGTTTGAAGTTCTGATAATCAGTTGGTCACACTGTGCCCACTGTTATAACTGCCTGGCTAATATTGTGTCAGCCCCTCTTTTGATGCCAAAACATCCCCGACCCGTTAAGGCAGGGGTGGGGGAACTCCAGGACTCAAGGGCCAATGGCCTGCAGGTTTTAGAGATCACCCTGGGTCAACACACCTGAATCGAGTGATTAGGCCTCAGACCTCTGGAGAACTTCAAGACATGTTGAGGAGGTAATTTAGCCGTTTAAATTAGCCCTATTGGATCGAGGACACATGTAAAACCTGCAGGACATCGACCCTTGAGGACGTTCCCCCACCCCTACGTTAAGGCATGGGCTCCACTAGACCCCTGAAGGTTTGCTGTCCTACCTGACACCAAGATGTTAGCAACAGATCCTTTAAGTCCTGTCTAAGTCTTGAGGTGGGACTTCTTTGGATCAGACAGGTTTTTCCAGCTCAATTGGATTGAGATCTGGGAAATTTGGAGGCCAAATCAACACCTCAAAATAATTGTTGTGCTTCTTAAAGCACTCTTAAACCATTTTTGCTTTATGGTAGAGCACATTATCATATTAAAAGAGGCTACAGCCATCATTGAATACCGTTACATGGTCTTCAACCATGTACATACGTGATGTGTGTCAAAGTAGCATCCACATGGATGGCAGGCAAAGTTTCAGAGTTATCAATAATGTTACGCCTGATCGGTGCATGTCAGTTGATGGTGTGTTTTGCACTGTAGCGAGCACCATGGACCAATGCTTGACCCCCGTATGGTGTCATCAGTTGGCTACAACAATATGAGGTTTCTGTTAGCAGGAAGTTTGCTGAAGATCCACTGTTACAGGTTAAGTGCTGGAAAACTCCTCTGTCAAGATGGCTGATAAACAGACTAGATTACTGAATTACTTGTTTAAAACTAGTAACGCTATCACCTTTAGGAAGGCTGAGGGCGGCTGGAGATGCAGAGGACTTTGAGTGTTTTACATAAAGTCCAACAGGAGCATCTGTCTTAGGAGTGAGCGGCACTTGTCTAGTCAGAGAACAAATGGAGCTCGTAGAGTTAGATGGGCCGATTCTGCTGAGAAATGTGAAGATCTAAAGACGAGCTGTCACGTACTTCCTGCTTTCCTTCTTCTCATCGACAGCTCACCCTGTGGTGCTTTCTTTTTTCCCCTCCTACTTCTCAAAGCAAATCACCAGAGAGATCCTCATCAGCAGTTTTGACTTTGACTCACACGCTGGTCCCATGTTCATTTTTCCTCCAGTTTCCAGCCAGTTTTGTTAATACTTTATAGTTAATCTAACTCTTTGGCCTTTTTCATGTAAAGTAGCACACAGCATGTGGTGGTGATGCTGCTGCTGCATTGGTTCTCATCAGCTGTTCCTGCTGTTTCTATATTTATTATTTATATGACACGATTCTTTTAATTTTTACTAGGAAACCAGCCAGATAAACCACATTAAATTTAACAGGTTATATCACTGGAAGACCTAAGAAAGGCTTTCTTTATACCACTTTGTGTTAGCGAATTATTAGCTTCATCGTTTGGCTGATACGGTGGCCGTGAGACGTCAAACAGATAGTTGTTTGTTTTTTTTTAAAGCAAAAACCACAACGGACACGTTTCTGGGGACACGATAATGTAGTAAGTATTTTTGTAGTGTTTTATTCAACTTCTAATGTGCTTTTTTTGTGCTTTTTTTCTCATTGCTGCTGTTTTTTTTCCAGTCCATTTGACCTCTCAGGGGCACCGTAGGCTTATCTCTAGGGCTCCAACGTATCATGCCGCCTGTGATAATAATACATTTTTGTGGCCGTCTCAAATAATTTAGTAAAAAGGGCACTATCCACCAAAGCGCTGCACTTCATAAAATGTGCAGGAAAACTGTTTCTGCTTAAGGTGGAAATAACACACTTAGGCAGAAATGCATCATATATAATAGCAGATCATGATGTGTGTAAATAAATCACTCCGCCAAGCGTCGCTGGCGGAGTGATTTATTCACTCGTTATGACGGGAAGATCAAATTGTAGATGGAAATTCCTGGTGCGGTTACGTGGTGGAAAAGCCAGGTTTTAAGTAGCTGCTCAAAAAGCTAAATATACAAGATCCACAATAGAAAATATTTTTACATTTTAGAATATGTTGTAGGTGCGTTGGAAGAAAAATTCCCCAAAAAGCAATTAAGTGAAACTCCCACACACTTCCTGGTAATAAATTTAGGCCATTATATTCTAATCAGGTACCTGATGAAGGTAAACAGAACAGAAGTGTTGTAATTTTTTAATAAATGTATTAGCGACAGTGTGTGGGAGTTTCATTTAATTGTTTTGGGGGAGTTTTATTATGTGACAATATTGTGTAGATGGTACAAAAGTTACATTGTTAAATTACTTTCACTATTGTTGTTAAAGTGTTGCTGATTCTATTCTTACATTAGACTCATGTTCTGTCTGTCTGTATGAAGCTGCTGCTGCCAGCTGAATGAAGCTGATTGGAAAATGAGTCGATGCTTTTGCTTTATCAGTTTGAAATACTTTATGGATTAAGCACAATTTCTTTTTGTGTATAAATTATATTCTATAATTGTCCAATAATATTGTAGTTTTCAGAGGGAAAGCTGGTAAACTTGGTAGAAAGTTGGTAGACTGTCACTGGCTGTCATATACCGGTGTTAATGCGTAGAGTAATCTAGATATTTGCCTTGCACACAGGTACATGCGCACACATGGCTCTACGTGAAAACATCACATACCACTGAGGTTTTGTACCCATGTAACAGGATGAGAGGATCACATTAGGAGCTTTGCGCCCCCACCCATGGCCTGCCGGCTTGGTCTGATGCTCCCGTTGCAGCTATCTCCAGCTGCTTTACTGACCTGTGGGGATAAACACTCTCAGGTTCAACCTCTAACAATCTCTTCCCTGCAGAGTATTTTTGAAATATTTGTGCTTTAACTTTGACCTATAGTAGCTGGCAGGGAGCTTCACACCAGTGCAGTTTTGGCTGTATGATCAAGGCTTTCTCAGTTGCACTTTAAAGCTGGCAAAACATAATTTAGTTGACTCCAGCACTGCAGCTCCCAGGGGCCTGGAGCCTGCAACATATACAGCACAGCTAAGTAGCCATAAAGGGATTTGAGGGCTCGAGTTTCTCTCGTATAAACTGTCCAAATAACAGAGTGAGGAATTCTTTTTATCACTCCTGATGCAGCCAGGACTAAAATACAATGAGGATATAATGAGATGATCATCTGATTACTGATATTTATCACCCCACTTTCATCTTATATATGCACTTAGCTAACAAAACTATAAAACATTTATCCTTTTTTCTTTAGCTCGTTACCTGGAGATGTGTAAAAGGATCTTTGTTTGTGTCAGTCTGTTTATTCTTCATGTTTGTGTAGCATATGTGGGGCTGGGATTGAGATTTTTCAGTCCTACATGTAAGCACTGAATTGTTCATTAGGGTCTAGTGCAGTGCTCATGCAGGACTCTTTGACAAACTTGCACATCTGTGAGCATCTACAAGTGTAATGAAATCTGACAGAGAACAAGGAAAAGAAGAGCAGGACCTATTTAATTAGCTTCTTTTCCTCTTGCTCAATAATTCTAGGCTTAGTTCAGAAAGTGGACCAGCGCCTCCCGGTGGCCAACGAGTACCTGCTGCTCTCCGGCGGGGCCCGTGAGGGCGTCTTGGACCTCAACCCCGAGGATCTTGGGGACTACGCCAAAGGGGCCGACTTTGACCTGGATTTCACCCTGTTGGTGCCCGCCCTTAAGCTTCACGACCGCAACCAGCCAGTCACTCTGGACATGAGACACTCCCCGCCCTGTCACTCGTGGCTCAGCCTTCGCCTCTGTGACTCCAGCATCCTGTCCCGCTGGAACATCTGCTGCCAGGAGGAGAATGGGCATCCCATTGAGGAGGAGGAGGAGGAGGAAGAGGAGGGGGAAATGGGTGAGTTGCAAAAAAAAAGGATAATCAGAGATGAAACTGGGATGGAGAATTTCCTAGACGGAGAGGAGGACTGTGTGTGAGTCATGTCTCTCATAACTTGATGCACGGGTGTTGTGATACAGTTTTAAATAAACTGAGCGTTTACGAGTGTAACACCTTTTTTACTCACGTCTCAGCCTCTCTCATCCTTTAGGTCACAGTTTACACTGTAGCACAGAGAAAATAAAGGGGAAACACGTAAACAGCGGAAGATCAATTAAATCTATTTAATGAAGTTTACAGCCTTGAGGCCTGCTCCCAATGATGTTGCGACTTATGCACGTCCTGTGGGAGCAGTTTCAGCAGCTGCAGTAGTTTTTAATTTGCCCGCGATTTTTATGTGACAAATGACGCGTTCAGTGGGAACGGGCCATTAGCGTGCCCGGGGTATTTGTCTGAAACTTTGGCGCCGTAAATATGTGATGTATTGAGCGTCCTACTTCTTTAGTGTGTATAAACAGCCCCACAAGATTACTGTAGCAGGCTGCAGAGCGCAGCATCTCGAGTAAAGTGAACAAGAAGTACAGAAAACAGAATAACAACGGTCTTTCAGGTCTTGTGGGGTTCTGGCTAAGCACCTGAAGTGATGAATGTGAGATTTTCGGGCTCTGTGACTGCACGCTGTGAGATAAATGTATAGAAGCAGTGACTCATCCTGCCTCACTCCATCCCTTCCCCGCTCAGGTAAAGGCTCCATCCCCTCCCTGGGCTCCCCTCAGTCTCTGGATGGAAGCTACTTCTCTCCCGCCCTGGTGACGGACTGGTTCTGGGGGGTCGTGAGCGAGGCTGTAGAGGAGCTGAGGCGCAGCCCCCAAAGAGGCATCCCCACCCCAGACCGCCTGGAGAGAAACGGACCCCTCACTACTATTATCCTGCAGGTACAGCTTCGGCTCTTCTTTCCAAAACGGTGATAAACTGAAGCCCTCTTTACGCCTCAGTCGATAACGAACATCAGGGCTGTTTAACTTTGCAGCTGTGTGAAAATTGCTGCTATTCATGGGACGTTTATGTGGAGTGAAATCAATATTGCAGAGGATTGTAGTCAAATGTTAAAATAATTTTTTTCACGCCCTGTTTGTAATTCAGCACCGAGTGTGTGACATTTTAATATTCCTCCACACTCTCCTTCCTGCAGGCAGGCTCGAGCCGGGTGCTGTACGACCTTCTGCCGGTGGTGTCGTTTCGAGGCTGGCCCGCTGTGGCCCAAGGCTGGCTGACTGCCAACCACTTCTGGGATGGTAAAATCACAGAGGAGGAGGCCATATCTGGCTTCTATCTGCTGCCCTGCTGCTCCCCGCTGGGTGGTCGGCCTGACAG